TGAAAATCGGACGCCTAGGAGGCGCCTAGTGGTCCGTTATGTTAGTGTAGTCTAAAGGGGAGTATGGTTGAGCTAACTAGGTCGGATGCGACGCCTCGTGGATAGTTAGCCAATCCTCCCTTCGTGACACCTTGGAGATGCCTTGGGTCGGATTGCACTAACGGTTTGGAAGTTGAAACGGTAATGTTTCGGAAAATGTGGAGCGACATGGGCATGACATTGCACTACATAGGCTTACATGGCATAATTGTGACTTGAATGACAATTGTGGTTATATTTGACGTTGTGGTTATGGATTATATCCCCGGTATAGTATGATCTCATTCTCTTGATTTCTATTCTATACGTGGATTCATGGGGTCACAAGAGGTGTGTCTTAGGCACCTCCTACTGAGCATTTAGTTCACCCCATTATTTAACATTTTTCAGGATACGGGAAGGATGTGGCGGACGACGCTCCTCCAAAAGTCTTGATGGGTTAGTGGACTGTTTTGTCATCCTTTGTAGATATCATCTCATTTAATTATTATTATTATTATTATTTTTATTTTATAAACCCTGGAATAACACGTATAATATGCATTGACATAGGAAAGGTCGATAGTATCCTTAGTTGACCTCGAGTTCTGGTAAGGACCCTATTAGCAATTCGAACCCCCGGGTTCAGGTCGTTATAGGGACTAGGGAGTCGCCCTAGTGTGGTTGAGCTATTCGGGCCCCTCGATGACCTTGCGGGGTTACCAAAGGTCTAGGGACGATAGCCAATCCTCCTCTCGTGTCGCGGCGGGGTTACCAAAGGGCGGGCTGTATTAACATTTGAAAGTAATGGTTTTGTGAATGAAAATGGGGAGTGACACTAACATGCACTGCATTTCATTGCACTGCATGGTTTATAATTGGAATTAACGTGCATATTGTTTTAATTCCCTATATTGCATGATCCCTATTTCCCATTGGCGTATGCTTTGTTTGGATTCACAAGGACACAAGAATTGTGTCTTAAGTGTCACCTACTGAGCTTTATGCTCACCCTATTATTTAATAATTTTTTTCAAGAAACAGGAAAGAAGTGGCGGATGACATTCTACCACAGACTTAGTATGGATTAGGAGCTTAATTTGTTGTTCTTGTACTTGGGCCTCACTATTTTTGTAAGACTAAGCATAATGTATTTTGTACGACGACTTATGGACTTTTAATATTATAATCGTACCTATGGGCCGCAACTTTTGTATGAGCTGTCTAAAAGTTGTAAAATATGGACATTGATATTAATCTTGTATTTTGGGACTGTAATTATGCTATCTGGATGATATAGTACGTGGTTGTACCACTATGGAATGCATTAAATTAAGGCATGATGAATGGATGAAAGGGATCCTGGAATATATATATTTTATGTTTATTGTGCTGGGACAGGTTAAAAATGTATTTAAACAAGTTGTGGTAGGCCCATTTTTAGGGGGGGTCATGCCGATTTTTTTTTTAAATGGTATCAGTTTAGGGTTGTTTCAATATTGAATACGTATACGCGAGTATCCGAGCAATTCTTGAACAATAAAGCCACAGAAAGTACTTGGTATTCACAATGGAAGCAAACTGTCACTTTAAAGGCAGTTGTTGATGCATTCTCTCTAGTTCATTATTCCTACATTTTGCTTAGTGCCTGAGTCTATCATCAAATTATGCCACTGCAGCTACAAGTTTTGGCCTCCCATTTCTGAGTGCTTATCTCAATTCTTTGGGGACCAACTTCACCAATGGTGCAAACTTCGTCACTGCAGCATCAACCACCACACCACTTCAGTCCATTATTCCGGTGGGTGCATTCAGTCCCTTCTACTTAGATGCACAGTATTGGCAGTTCACACAATTCATATACAAATCACAAATTATCAAGAAAACAGGTAAATGATTTTATCGCACTGTGCCATGTCATTTCAATATCTACTACATTCACCAATGGGGAGGTTTAGTGTCCGAGCACTATTAGGGGCAATATTATGAGCGTGTGTGCCTTTGCTTGAACTTTCAAATATATATATATATATATATATATATATATATATATATATATATATATATCTGTTACATTCTCTCTTTAAATTTCTGCCCATTTGTTAATTTGGAATTCAATTACTCATATATATAGGAGGAATATACAAGGATTTAATGCCAGAGGAGGAAAATTTTCGAAAAGCCTTGTATACATTTGATATTGGTCAGAATGATCTTAAACAGGTTTCTTGGTCAGTAACATGTCCATAGAGGAAGTGAATGCTTCTGTAAAGTTTTTGACTATATCTATATATATATTTAGGTTAAAAGAAATTTTTTTATTTAGCTGTGGGACCTACTTTATTTTATGTTATCATGTGCCAAATGGGATTACAGACCCCTTTTTTCTGTTCCTCTTCTCTCTCCCCGCTGCCTTTCTTCCTCTCTGTATTTCTTTTTTCTTTTTCTTTTCAACTTCCACTCTCGATTTCTTCCTCAATCCTTGGTAGATTTGAGAGTCGTTTGAGGCAAAACGAAGCCCACGACGAGCTGTACGCGCTAGTGTAAGCAATTTCAGATTTGATCTTCCTAGGGACTTCGAATTTAGAGACCCATTTTAAGGGTTTTGGCTCACTTTTGAGTTAGGGGCTCTTAATCCATGCCTTTCTTGTTCCATTGTGAATTATATCTCTCTTGTGGGATAACATGCTTTATTTATGAGTTAATTGTATCAATGATTATATGAAATGATATCTAGAGAAATTCATGTTTTTGACTATGAGTTGTTCTATGTGAAAAGCATGTTTAGATGTTGTTTTGTCGTGTTTAATGTGTTGATAATTTAATTAATGATGTTGAATATGATATATGTCTAGTTGTGTAGTAATTTTGTAGTGTAAAATCTTAAAAAGAATGCCATAATATTGAAAAGCATGGGATATACATACATGCACATACCATTGGGTTTGCATGAAATGGAAGAATTTGCTTGAAACAAAAAGGGGAATTTTGGGAAAAGAGTTTTTACGAATTGGTTTTATGAAAACCCGGTCGCCGCGGGGGTACGAAAGGGCCGGAGTGTTAATATAGCCTAGAGGGGACTAGGGAGTCGCCCTAGTGTGATTGAACTAGCTGGGCCCCATAATGACGCCTCAGGAGTACCAAGGGTCAAGGACACTAGCCAATCCTCCTTTCGTGCCGCTGCGGGGTCACCAAATGGCGGGTTGTATTAACAGTTTGAAAGTGATGGTTTGAAATGTGAAAATGGGAAGTGACATTGGCCTGCATTTGCATTCCATGGCACTGTATTGTATTATCCCGACATTGTATGATCCCTATTCCTATTGATCTATTCTTTGTATGGATTCACAGGGATACAAGATGCGTGTCTTAAGTGCTACCTACTGAGCTTTATGCTCACCCTATTATTTAATAAAATTTTTTCAGGAAACGGGAAAGAAGTGGCGGATGACTTTCCACCACAGGCTTAATTTGGATTAGAAGACTTTTTGCTATTTTTGTGTTAAGTCTCATATTTTTTTGTAAACTCTTAGTTTGTTATATTTGGTATAGAGATTTGTGAACTCTTATTATTGTAATTATATTTATGGACATTTGATATTAATCTCGTATTTTGGGACTGTAATTATGGTATCTGGATGATATAGTAGGTGGTTGTACCACTATGAAATGAACTAAGTTAAGGCATGGTGAATGGATGAAATGGATGTTGGAATGTATTGTATGATATTTGTGTTGGGACAGGTTTAAAATTCTTTTAACAGGTTGTGGTAGGCCCGTTTTTGAGGGGAGGTCATGCCGAATTTTTTTAAAATTTTAGCATCAGCTAGGGTCGTTACAGCTTCTGTCCCAGAAATAGTCAATAGGTTCTCTACTAACATTAAGGTATAATCTTCATAAGGTCTGCATATATCATACATGTAGTTGTTCTTCCTTTTTGATAGTTACAATTGATAGGTTGAGGATAAAAAAAAAATGCGCATGACTAAAAATGTTGTATTGGAAGTATTATAACCATGACATTGTGATGGTGTAGAATATATACAAGTTGGGAGCCAGGTCATTTTGGATCCACAACACCGGACCGATTGGCAGCCTTCCCTATATCTTGGCAACTTTTCCGGCAGCTCAAAGGGACAGCGCTGGCTGCGCGAGGGCTTACAATGAGGTAGCTCAGTACTTTAACTGCAGGTTGAAGGAGGCCAGTCTACAACTCAGAAAGGACCTTCCTCTAGTTGCAATCACATATGTAGATGTGTACTCTGTCAAGTACTCTCTCTACACTGAACCAAAAAAATATGGTATGTCATACTACAAAAGCGCCATGTTAAACATAGTTTTACATTGCATCAACATAGGAACAAAATTTATATATAGATATAAATATGAATGTGTCATTTATGTTGTGTTCGTAATCTGCAGGGTTTGAGCATCCGCAATTAAAAACCAGCAAGCATCAAGCCTAAAACCAGGAGAAGCCCAATGCCAATACCTCACCTAAAACCTTTTGATCAAATGACTATCTTCTTGCTTACAGTGTTTGGGCTACAAGAACACAAATAGGTCATACGGGGCACTAATAAATAAATATATTCATATAATAACCTAAAGCAGAAACTGAGAGCAGAGATGTTAAATTGAACAGCTTTATGTATCACCTGAGAACAATACAATATGAAAGCTATACATATGCAATGCTTGAGCATAATGGCATAAAAAGGACTCAAACTAATGACTTTGGCATACTATTTTTTAAGGATTAATTTGAAATGTCTTTGAATTTTGAAAGTTTACCTTGTCGATGATAATATAGAGTTGCTCATGCTTCACAAAATTTTATCTCAGGTTGAAGTAAGCCGGTTCACATATGTTTCTTTCTATTCACTGATTGAATTACCAAAATTTCATTTCGTTTGTTTGATGCCTCAACCTTCCAACCTCCTACATAATGAGGGTTGAAAGTTGACACACATTTAGTCACATATGAATGTATTCATTGATTGCACTTGAACAACTGTACCAATCAACAACTGTTTGAAATTTATTAAACATTTTTTTCAAATCAAATATCACATATTAAGTTTGGCTTGAAATAAATCCATGCTTTGGTGAACCACATAATTTCTTCTAATCGAGTAATTGAAAAGACTGTTTTCCCCACAAGACAAATCAAACTTTTTGTCTTTGAGATGATATTTTTACGGATTTAAAAAATTACGTATAGAATTAGAATTCAAGATTGTGTGGGAAAAAATACCATGCTTTGGATAAACATGAGAAGCTTCTTCTGAGTTCTGACATGTGATTGAAAAGTCTACTTTCACACAGTACATAAACCAAACTTCTCATCTCTAGCATCCTAGACAACATCTTGTGTTCTCTTCCACCACATGGAGTGTCCAACAATGAACATGCCTTCCATTCTTTTCTCTTGTTTTTGCATCTTTGTTCTATGCTATGCCACTGTCCTGAACCCTGTTTCTGCTATGCAAAGTTGTGATTTTCCCGCAATTTTTAACTTTGGCGACTCAAATTCCGACACTGGTGGACTGGCTGCAGCCTTCAATTGGACCAAGCCACCTTATGGAGAAACCTTCTTTCGCATGCCAGCAGGGAGGTTCTCAGATGGACGGCTCATCATTGATTTCATCGGTATGTATCTACCAGTATCACTTCCGATTTTAGCCTACTTTAGGCATGCAACATTTTCTATCATTACAATGTTTTATAGTGGTGCAAAGGGCTAGCATGATTGAGATAAGGATATCCATTTCAGTGGTAGGTCCATAAAATTGCATGGTCACTCATTTTGACACAAGTGAAAAATATCAAACACTTATTATTATTATGATTATTATTATTATTATTTTTATTATTTTTATTATTTTTTTTTTTTTTTGGGAAATTTAAGGAATTAAAGTACTTTGTGTTCACATTGCAAGCAGACTATCATTTTACAGGCTGTTGATGGAGCATTTTTTGTAACTCAATTTTCCTTCATTTTGCTGACCTTATTGCCACTGCAGCTACAAGTTTTGGCCTCCCATTTCTGAGTGCTTATCTCAATTCTTTGGGGACCAACTTCACCAATGGTGCAAATTTCGCCACTGCAGCATCAACCACCACACCACCACGGTTCATTATTCCGGTGGGCGGATTCAGTCCCTTCTACTTAGATGCACAATACTGGCAGTTCACACAATTTATATACAGATCACAAATTATCAAGAAAACAGGTAAATGATATTATTGCACAATATCTTTCCTTTCCAAAGGGGAGGTTGAGTGTTTGAGCCATATTAGGGGCAATATTGTGGGTGTATGCGTATTTGTTTGAACTTCTAAAAAAAGATATGATCGTGCAGTGCCATTTCATCTCAATATCTGCTACATACTCTGTTTAAATTTCTACCCATTCGTTAATCTGGAATTCAATCACTCTTGTAGGAGGGATATACAAGGATTTAATGCCCGAGGAAGAATATTTTCAGAAAGCCTTGTATACATTTGATATTGGTCAGAATGATCTTGGTCAAGGTTTCTTTGGTAACATGTCCATAGAGGAGGTGAATGCTTCTGTCCCAGATGTAGTCAACAGGTTCTCTACTAACATCAAGGTATAATCTTCATCACAAAAGGGCTGCATATACCATATGTGTAGTTCTTCTTTCTAATGATAGTTACATTTGATATCTTGAGGAGAAAAAAAAAGGGGCATGACTAAAAATGTGCTATTGGAATCGCTATAACTCTGACATTGCGATATGATGTAGAATATATACAAGTTGGGAGCTAGATCATTTTGGATCCACAACACCGGACCGATTGGCTGCCTTCCCTATATCTTGGCAAGTTTTCCGGCAGCTCAAATAGACAGTGCCGGCTGCGCGAGGCCTTACAATGAGGTAGCTCAGTACTTTAACTACAGGTTGAAGGAGGCCATTGTGCAACTCAGGAAGGACCTTCCTCTAGCTGCAATCACATATGTAGATGTGTACTCTGTCAAGTACTCCCTCTATACTGAACCACAAAAATATGGTATGCCATACAACAAAAACTCCATGTTAAACATAATTTTACGACGCATCAACATAGGAACAAACATTATAAAAATATAGACATAAATATGAATGTGTCATTTATGTCTGCAGGGTTTGAGCATCCGCTTGTCGCTTGCTGTGGCTATGGTGGGAAGTATAACTTTAGCAGTGTCGGAGGTTGTGGAGATACTGTCACTGTTAATGGCAGCCAAATATTCATCGGTTCGTGTGAACGCCCCTCGGTTCGAGTAAACTGGGATGGAGTTCACTACACTGAGGCAGCAGCTAAGTTTGTTTTTGATAAAATTTCCACCGGAGAATTCTCAGATCCACCAGTTTCCTTGAGAATGGCATGTCACAGCAAATTGGACTAAAGTTTCTCAATATATAGTACAATGCACTTCAGCAATGGACAATATATATCCACATACACCTATATGATATGTTGTTTTTTTTTTTTAGATAAAGAATATGATATGTTGTTGTTATAGTTGTTCTATATATATATACACATACACCTATAATATATATATATATATATATATATATTCTTCAAGTTCCATGTACTACCATAGAATAAAGGCTTAGTGTCCTGCAGCCTGATATATACATATGCTCTTCGGATGTGCCTTCAGAAAATAAAAATAAAAACAGTACCTTTAGAGCATTTCTCTTTTGATATATTGGATGGAATTTTCATTTGTCACAAGTTTCTTGTAATGTTACTCACTTCTTCTGTCAAATGTGCACTTAAACAATCTTTGTTGATATTGGTTTCTAATGGTTTCCTATCTAATACATACCATTGTTGATTTAATATGCATTGTTCAATGTATGAAACCAGTGCTTGTTGCTATAAACGCCCAATTAATTTAGGTTTTATCTGTAATTCATTTCGGTATCATTTGCAACCTACATGAATATATTTATTGATTACATTTCTTCCATGTATTTTAGTCGGTCTATGTTTTTTTTTTGGTTCAAGTAATATTGCACTTCAACAAATGTTTATGTTTTTTTTGGTTCAAGTAATATTGCACTTCAACAAATGTTTATGGTCAAACACGAATCCCACATTTCGAGAACACTCCACATGAATGTATTTATTGATACATTTTCCACAATATAAATCATTTTTTTTTTTTTTTGTCTTTGAGGTAACATTTCCACGAAGGATGTAAAAGATCACATATCATTAGATTTCAAGATTGTGGTTGAAAAAAAATACCATGCTTTGGATAAACATGAGAATTTTCTTCTGAGATGGTACTGAAAAGTCTACTTTCAAACACTACATAAACCAGACTTTTCATCTCTGGCTTTCCCTTGAGAATGGCTTGTCACAAAAACAAGCACTTCAACAATGGACACAATATATATATATACACCTATATGATATGTTGTTATAGTTGTTCAATTACTGGTTTTGAGTTTTATTATTATTATTATTATTATTTCCAAAAGGTTAGTTTTGATTTTTATTTTCTCTGTATATTGCACTCTTTCATACATTCACATACTCTCTTCCCAGATTTCTTAGGAAAGAAAGAGTTAAGAACCTGTTTAATTACATTAATTGGGTTGGTATTTGAAATAGACATCTAGCCAAGGTTTCCTTTCTTTTTGCACAAACACCAAATTTTACTAAAAAAAAATTCAAGATTACTTTTTTATTTTGCAAGCTCTGGAAATCAACTCTAACATGAACAAAAAATAAACAACAGAAATTGAAGAGTACAAAAAAGGTAAAAAGGAGAGTATTTGGACATAAATAAAAAGTAAGGTTTCATCCAGTCATCAAAACTCAGCACCATCTCCCAAAAAGGCCACTCATATTCATTTCATAATAGGTGGACAACTCCTTGCACCTAACTAACCCACGTATCTCATCAATCAAGGAGAGTGGCTCTATGTTAATGAGCGAAGTGAAGTGCCCCATGGGCCGAGCCGCCCCTGAGTCACGTAATTGAAAAGTCCATCTTTACGAAATATAAATCAATTGATGCAGAAGAACACGTATCATTAGATATCAAGATTGTGTTTGAAAAAAATACCATGATGTGGATAAAAATGAGAGAAGTTTCTTCTGACAAGTTATTGAAAAGTCTACTTTCACACACTACATAAACTAAACTTTTCATCTCTAGATTCCCAACACAACATGGGGTGTCCAACAATGACCATGTCTGTCTCTCCCCTCTCTTGTTTTTGCATGTTTCTTCTGTGCTATGCCGCTGTCCTGAACCCTGTTTCTGCTGTGCAAAGTTGTGATTTTCCGGCGATTTTTAACTTTGGCGCCTCGAATTCGGACACTGGTGGACTGTCTGCCGCCTTCAATTGGACCAACCCACCTTATGGAGAAACCTTCTTTCGCATGCCAGCTGGGAGGTTCTCAGATGGACGTCTCATCATCGATTTCATGGGTATGTATCTACCAGTATCACATTCAATTTTAGTCTACTTTAGGCCTACATTTCTGTCGTTACAATGTTTTATGGTGGTGCAAAAGGCTAGCATGATTAAGATAGGGATATTCATTTCAGTGGTAGGTACATGGGACACTCCTTTTGACATAAGGTGAAAAATATCAAACACTAGTATTTATTAAGTGAAGAGAACAAAGAGGTTTGGCATGTTTTTTGTTTCTACTGTTTTTACGGTGTCCATTTTGGCAACAAAAATATGCTTGGTGTGGTTTTATTTTAATTTAACGTGTTAAAACACTTGATGAACAGTGACCCAAAACAAAAATACCAAAAAGTTATTTTTTCTTGATTTGACAACTGCTCATGACCCAAAACTATAACTATTTATATTTTTGTTTCCGACATTTTCACATTAAAATATCGTTTCCAAACGTGCTTTCGATTTTTTTTCAAAACACTCATACAACAAAAATATTATTTTTATTTTAGTCAAAAACAAAACACCTAAAATAAACATGTCAAACGGATACGAGTCTTTTAAGACATGTTGGAAAAAACATTTCAAAGGTTCGACGCATTATGATGCCAAGTTGAACATCGATGATCAATTAATGCGATTTTTATTAGTAATAACCATGTCTCGAAGGGTTATGATTTTGCGGTGTCATTTAGATTCCTTTAGAAGAAACATAAGTAATTTTCTATATTAAACGATTGAAAAATGATTCTTCGGCAATCTCAAAGGGATGGTGGACCCCACTATTTGTGGTGAGCTTCGCTCCCCCCATTGTGAGAGAATCGACTTATGCCGACTCGACTTGTATGGCATTGCTCGTATCACATATTAAACTCTAAAAGGGTTGACACGTTTTAGAAATGCTACTGCCTATCCATTTTTCACATGGGGGACTTACAGTACTCATTGAATCGTGTGTGTTCCTCGTTGTGACCCACCTCATTATAGTCCCCAAGCTGCACATGACAGACTTTTGATAGCATTTTACTTGGGGCCTAGCATGTTTAAATGCATATGGCCATACAGGGAATAGTCAGAAAAGCTATCCCAGTCATGATTCAACCCAAATAGTTTAATGAAATATAGAGCCACAGAAAGTATTTTGTATTCCCAATGCAAGTAAATTGTCATTTTAAATGAGGCATTTTTTGTAGCAAATTGTCATTTTCTTCCATTTTGTTGACCTTAACATCAAATTGTGCCACTGCAGCTACAAGTTTTGGACTCCCATTTCTCAGTGCTTACCTCAATTCTTTGGGGGCCAACTTCACCAATGGTGCAAATTTCGCCACTAAAGCATCAACCATCAGACCACCACTGTCCATTATTCCGGTGGGTGAATACAGCCCCTTCTACTTAGATGCACAGTACTGGCAATTCACACAATTCATATACAGATCACAAATTATCAAGAAAACAGGTAAATGATATTATTGCGCAGCGCCATTTCATTTCAATATTTGCTGTTTTCATCAATTGGAAGTTGAGTGTTCGAGCCCTGCTAGGTGCAATATTGTGGGTGTGTGTGCGTTTGCTCGAATTTTTTGAATATATATATATATATATATAGATGCTACATTCCCTCTTTAAATTTCTACCTATTTGTTAATCTGGAATTCAATCACTCTTGTAGGAGGGATATACAAGGATCTAATGCCCGAGTTGGAAGATTTTCAAAAAGCCTTGTACACATTTGATATTGGTCAAAATGATCTAAGTCAAGGTTTCTTTGGTAACATGTCCATAGAGGAAGTGAATGCTTCTGTCCCAGATATAGTAAACAGGTTCTCTACAAACATCAAGGTATAATCTTCATCACAAAAGTGCTGCGTATATCATACGTGTAGTTTTTCATTCTTATGACCGGTTACATTTGATAACTTGAGGAGAAAAAAAGAAAAAAAAGGCATGACTAAAAATGTGGTATTGTAATTGCTATAACTATGACATTGTGATATGATGTAGAATATATACAAGTCGGGAGCTAGATCGTTTTGGATCCACAACACCGGACCGATGGGCTGCCTTCCCTCTATCTTGGCAACTTTTCCAGCCGCTCAAAAGGACAGTGCCGGCTGCGCGAGGGCTTACAATGAGGTAGCTCAGTACTTTAACTACAGGTTGAAGGAGGCCATTGTGCAACTCAGGAAGGACCTTCCTCTAGCTGCAATCACATATGTAGATGTGTACTCTGTCAAGTACTCTCTCTATACTGAACCACAAAAATATGGTATGTCATACTACAAAAGCTCCATGTTAAACGTAGTTTTACATTGCATCAACATAGGAACAAAATTTATACAGATATAGATATACATATGGATGTGTCATTTATGTTGTGTTTGTAATCTGCAGGGTTTGAGCATCCGCTTGTCGCTTGCTGTGGCTATGGAGGGAAGTATAACTATAGCAGTGTGGGAGGTTGTGGAGATACTGTCACTATTAATGGCAGCAAAATATTCATCGGTTCCTGTGAACGCCCCTCTGTTCGAGTAAACTGGGATGGAGTTCACTACACTGAGGCAGCTAACAAGATTGTGTTTCATAGAATTTCCACTGGAGAATTCACAGATCCACCAGTTCCCTTGAGAATGGCTTGTCACAGCAAATTGGACTAAAGTTTCTCATATATAGTACACATACACCTATATGATATGTTGTTGCTATAGTTGTTTAATATATACACACATACACCTATATGATATATATATGTGTGTATATATTGAACAACTATATATTTTCTTCAAGTTCCATGTACTACCATAGAATAAAGGCTTACTGTCCTGCAGCCTGATATATACATATGCTCTTCGGATGTGCCTTCAGAAAATAAAAAAATAAAAAAACATTACCTTTAGAGCAATTCTCTTTTCATATATTGGATCGAATTTTCATTTATCACAAGTTTCTTGTAATGTTACTCACTTCTTCTGTCAAATGTTGCACTTAAAACAATCTTTGTTGATATTGGTTTCTAATGGTTTCCTATCTAATACATACCATTGTTGATTTAATATGCATCTTGTTCAATGTACGAGACTACTGCTTGTTGCTATCAAAGCCCAATTAATTTAAGTTTTATCTGTAATTCATTTCGTTAGCATACATTTAGTCACATGTTCACGATATCATGTGCAAACTACATGAATATATTTATTGATTACAATCCTTTCATGTATTTTAGTCAGTCTTTTTTTTTTTTTTTTTTGGTGCAAGTAATATTGCACCTCAATTGTTTATGGTCAAACATGAATCCCACATTTCTTGACCACTCCACATGAATGTATTTATTGATACATTTCCCACAATATAAATCAATTTTTTTTTTTTGGTCTTTGAGTTGACATTTCCATGAAGGATGTAAAAGATCGCAAATCATTAGATTTCAAGATTGTGGTTTAAAAAAATACCATGCTTTGGATAAACATGAGAATTTTCTTCTGAGATAGTATTGAAAAGTCTACTTTCAAACACTACATAAACCAGACTTTTCATCTCTAGCTTTCTAACAAAACACCTTCCTTCCTCTCTGTTCTCTTCCACCACATGGAGTGTCCAACAATGACCATGTCTGCTTTTTCTCTCTCTTGTTTTTGCGTGTTTCTTCTGTGCTATGTCACTGTCCTGAACCCTGTTTCTGCTATCCAAAGTTGTGATTTTCCGGCAATTTTTTACTTCGGCGACTCAAATTCCGACACCGGTGGATTGGCTGCAGCCTTCGGTGGATTGGCTGCAGCCTTCGATGGAGAAACCTTCTTTCGCATGCCGGCAGGGAGACTCTCAGATGGACGGCTCATTATCGATTTCATCGGTACGTATCTACCAGTATCACTTCCAATTTTAACTTACTTTAGGCCTACATTTTCTGTCATTACAATGTGAATGTTTTATGGTGGTGCAAAGGGCTAGCATGATTAAGATTGGGATATCCGCTTCAGTGGTAGGTCCATTTAACTGCATGGACACTCATTTTGACATAAGTGAAAAAGAAAAGAACAAGAAGATCATGGCTAAGACATGTTGCAAAAATCATTTCAAAGGTTTGAAGTATTATGATGCTAAGTTTTTTTTTTTTAGGTAAAAGGGTAAGCGGTAAATAAATAAAAATAAGAATGTACATGAGGTCCAACAAGGGACATTACAAGCCAAGAAAACAACTTACAATCAACAAGAAAACTGTGAACAAACTAGAAATACAACTAACAAGCAACCTGACACTGCTAAGAACAGACAACTCTCAGCCACCTTCAATTCCATAATTCATAGTGTAGTTGCTAGTCCATAATACACCATGAGTGACCCCCAGCAAATGCGCATCCCTTTAAAAATAATTGATGGAGATCATTTAAGGAGTCCAATTTCCTTAGTTCCAAACCAGTCTTGAGCATGATAGAGGCAAATCTAGCTCTGACTGTGCTCTTGATGAGAGAAATGGTATGCTGTGGTGATGAAGAAATGTTCCTGAACGCCCTTGCATTCCTCTCCTGCCATATGAAATAAATTGCTGCAACAAGCAGAAGCTTGTGTGTTATAAAGTGACTTTGAGCCCAGTTGCAACTACACCATGTAATGAGGTCCTCCCAGGAGGTGGGTTGAATGTAAAAGCCAGCTGCATGCTGGATGAAGTTCCAAATGGATGCACTATATGTGCATTTGAAAAAGAGTTGGTCAAATGATTCCCAATCAGAAAGACAAAGGTAACAAGCATTTGTATAATGCTTGTTCAACATTGGTTTAGTGTCCGAAGTGTACAATCTCTTTCTCATTGCCAACCACGCTATGTGACTATGCTTAGGGATATGGTGTTTAAACCAAATTAGGTGGTGCCAAGGAAAGGATATAGATGGAGGGTTGAAGCAATCCATGGTATGCTTCTGAGAGAAACCTTTTAAGGGACACGGCAACCACTCAATTAAGTCAGGAGAAGCTGAAGGGGATGGAAGGGACTGTAATTGATTGAGAAAAGATTGAGACTGTAGGAAGGGTATATGCTGTAGGTGAGGAGGAGTGGCCCATTGATTGTTGGAAATCAGGCTATCAACTGAGACTTGTGTGTTCAGTTGAAGAATTTCCATATCAGTGAGGCCTAGCTGGGTGGTTAAGGGTCCATTTGGCAACCAATAATCCAACCAAAGCATTGTGTCCTTCCCTGTCCCAATTCTATGCTTAATAAGGCCCCTACCCATATCCCTTAGTTTAAGTAAATTCCTCCAAGTTGAACATTTCTTTTGCCTTGTAATATAGATGAAGTGGTCTATTCTCTGTAAAAATGCCAAGTGATATGAAATTTTCCTAATTCAGTTGAGGCAGTTAATGTTATTTTATTAGTAATAATCATGTCTTGAACATATATGATTTTAGCTAAACGAGTTAACAACTTTTTACTTAATCTTTAGCTGCCGAACCATCAATATAAATAAATGGACATATGAGGGAGAAGGAAGAAGGAAGAAGAGAACCTTGAGTAAAACATTTCACTTCGGTGGTCTCCTGTTAGGGTTACATGTTGGTGGAGAAGAGAGATTTATGGGATTTGTTTTATTTACGGTTGATATGGTAAGCCATTTATGGGATTTGTTTCAATTAGGGACCACGATTTAAGGAAACTACCACCAATGACTCACCATATCAATGTAATAAAACAAATCCCATAAATCTCTCTTCTCCACCCACATTACACTTGTGGCAAGTAAAAAAATCATAAAAAATAAGCTTATATGCGAGGAAGGTGAGGAAGAACATGAGAATATCCTTTTGTATCTCGAATAATCCATGGTCTTTTTGTTGAGATGGTGATCATATTTTGTTTGCTATGGGGCTATTCTCTTTAATTTTATATTCATCGTACTTAGCCCTCTTGTGAGAGAGTATAAGAGGGAAGGGGCCTGGGGAATGAAAGCCAATTCAAAGTTTAAGGTTGTGTTACATTTTAAGTGGTTAAAATGGTGCACTTTGGGATTGGATATGTTTAGGAAGTATCTGGCACGTATCTGTAAGCAGTCGAGGAGTATCGGTATTTGATACGGGTATGAAACTAATGCCTGTTGGAAAAACATTATGGAAGGGTTTTATTTGAGAAGTATCGGATACGTGGTCGAAGTATCTATAAGAATTATCGGATACGTGTTGAAAATAAAAATAAAAATTTAAAAATTATGGATATGTTTAGGAAGTATCATACATGTATCCGCAAATATCTGAGGAATATCGGAGTCCGATACAGCATCACCTTTGTAGAAGTATCCGTGTTTCTTAGGAGAGTTGATCCTTATTTGAACACTTTTAGAACTAGTTTTTTGTAATTAAAAAAAACGCTCTATATTGATACTAGATGGTGTTTTGAGCATTTTACCCTTTATCAAATATGTTCACTTTATATGAGGTGATGCATAAACATAGTTACATACCATTGTTGATTTAATAACATTCTGTTCAGTGTATGAAACTATTGTCTGTTGGTAAAAACACCTGGTTTACAACAGGATTTTATCAAATATGTGGTTGAAGTATCTAAAAAATATTTGTAATATTTCCAATTTTCAGCATTTTCCATTTTTCTGGAAATTTGTGAAGACAAGGGTATTTTTGTCCTTTCACTTTTCGTCCGGGATTGTGGTTGGGTCCTGTTGCATTTTTCACATTTTAATTTATGTGAATTATGTGACAATTTTATGGTGATGTGTATTATTATTTGTGTAGTGTAGATAATTGAAGCATAAAAATAAAACAAAAAGAAAAGCTAGTGGCGGGACCCGCCACTCACACCACAAAAGGTCTGGAGACCATTTTTTTTTTTTGCTCCATCTTTCTCTCTCCCCGCTGAACTCTCTCTTCTGTCTCATTTTCTTCTTTTTTCTTTTCTTTTTAGAACCAAACTTGGGATCTTGATTCCTTCTTCATTTCTTATCGGATTTGAGTGCTGTTTGAAACAAAACGATGAGCACGACGAGCTCTACGTGCTAGTACCAGAAATTCCAACTTTTGGTCCTCTTTGGGAGCTCGAATTTAAGAACCCATTTCTAGGGATTTTGCTCATTTTGAGGTAGGGGCATCTTAATCTTCTCATTTCTTGTTCTATTATGAATTACACCTCCTTGCTGTGTCAAATATGTTTAATTGGGAGTTAATTGTATCTATGATTGTATGAATGGGGTCTAGAGAATTTTCAAGATCTTAAATATGATTTGTTTTATGTGTAAAGTATGTTTAGATGTTGTTTTATCATGCCCACTATGTGTTAACATGCTGAAAATGACTAGTGAGAACATGTTTATTTAGATTGTGCCAAATTTTTCATTGTCATAATATTGAGATTATATGTACATCCATGCACATGTCATTGGGATGCATGAAATGGGAGAATTTGTCTTCAAATGAAAATAGGGAAAATTTTGGGAGAAAAGTTTTGTGAAATAGTTTTGATAAACCCGGTCGCTACGGGGTTACCAACGGGCCGGTGGTTAATATAGCCTAGAAGGGATTGTAATATTTGTAATTTATTTACATATGTATATATATGTGGTGGAGAATTGTTGTGTGTGTGTGTGTGTGTGTATATATATATATATATATATATATATATAATTGTGGTGTAAAAAAATAAATAAAAAAAATAAAAAAGAAATTTTTTTAATTAAAAGTGGTAGGACCCCCCACTTATACAAATTGTGGCCAAAAGGCCATGTTGGCCTCACATTTTATCCCATTCCCGTAAGCTCTTTATCTCTCCCCCTACTTGGTCCATTTTCTTTTTCTTTTCAAAATAAAAATTCAATCATTGATTTCTCCTTCATTTTTTGATATTTTTTAGAGCCGTTTGTGGCAAAGCGAAGAGCGCGTTGAGATCTACGATTTGATCGGAGCAAAATTGGTTTTAGTGCAATCTAGGGATTTCGAATTTAGGACCCATTTTGAGGATTTTTCTACAAAATTGAGGTAGGGATTTCTAATTCACATTTTCTTGGATTTTAGTGAATTACCTTTCATTAATCGTTGTAAAGCATGCCTAAATTATGTGGATTCTTGTAAAGATGGCTTAATTGTTATATATGTAATATGTGGTTATGTGCTAATTGTTATTTGAGGAGAATACATGCTTAAATGATGTATATGAGAAATATGATTTTGTGTTAGTCGATGTTTTGTGTGTAAGCATGTCTGTGTGGAATATAATTTATGCCTTGTATGTTTATTATGTTAAATTAATGTTGAATGAAAGCATGAATTACGCATTTTGAAATTTATTATGGAGAGCATATATGAAATTCAATAGTTGAATTGTGTTTAGAAGCATGAAGCATTCATGCATCCATTGGGAAAGAAAGAGAAAGGGAAAAGTGTTTTTGAAGCAAATGAAATTGTTTTGAAAAAATTATTTTTGAAAAGTGTTTGTGAAAACCGGACGCCTAGGAGGCGCCTAGTGGTCCGTTATGTTAGTGTAGTCTAGAGGGGAGTATGGTTGAGCTAACTCGGCCAGATGCGACGCCTCGTGGATAGTTAGCCAATCCTCCCTTCGTAACGCCTTAGAGGTGCTTTGGGTCAGATTGCACTAATGGTTTGGAAGTTGAAACGGTAATGTTTCGGAAAATGTGGAGCGACATGGGCCTGACATTGCACTACATAGGCATACATGGCATAATTGTGACTTGAATGACAATTGTGGTTATATTTGACGTTGTGGTTATGGATTATATCCCCGGTATAGTATGATCCCATTCTCTTGATTTCTATTCTATACGTGGATTCATGGGGTCACAAGAGGTGTGTCTTAGGCACCTCCTACTGAGCATTTAGTTCACCCCATTATTTAAC